TCCCCAGCACTGGGATTACAAGTGTGCACCACCATGCCTGGTTTTGGGGCCGGCACAATGTGCCTAGGGTTCTGGGATTGGCAAACGATGATGTACCAAGGATCAGTCTCAGGTCCTTGTGCTTGCCAGGCAAGCGCTTAGACTGCCACGCTATCTACACAGGCCCTGATGTTGCTAGTTTAAGTGTATATAGTACTGTAGAAGTATTTTTTCCTTCATGATTGTAAGGGTTACTTGATGAAATGAATATTTCATTTTTTTAAAGTGAAATTAAGTTCATTAATTTATTTGTAATAGTTTATTGGTAAAATTTAGATATACGTGATAATATATTCATGTATATTATTGATCATAGGGAATTTGTACCTGTATATACTATATCTTGATGCCTCTTTTTTCCTCCAATGGCCTCCCTTAGCCCTTCTTCATTTACAAAGCTTTGTTTCCATTTTATCCTTTTTTTAAACTTTCTCCCATACTTCCTTTTCCCCTCCGCAATACCCTACTTCCTCTTTCTGTTGAACAATTCCTTCCTGTTTCACAATACCTATTATATACTTTAGTCATTCTTTATACTTTTAGTTTCTCACACCAGAGAAACAATGTAATGCTGAGAAGTGTCCAGCGCATTTTACTTAAGAGTATGGTCTCATGGTGCATCCATTTACCTAGAAATGTCTCCAGATTATCCTTCTTTATGGCTGAATAGTACTCCATTGAATAAAAAAAGACATCATTTTTATCCATTCACCATTTGATGGGCATCGGAGTTGTTTCTAAGATTTAGCTATTACAAACTGTGCCACTTTAAATAGAGGTGTGCAGGGCCAGCCAGATAGCTCAGCAGATGCAGTGACCAAGGTTTGATCTCCAGCGTGCCATGCTGGCCCTGCCCCCAAGGCACACTGAGAAGGTGGGTGATACTGGGTGTGGTGATGCAGGCCTGCAATCCCAGTGCTTGGGAGGCTGAAAACAGGAGGATCACTAGGAGTCTGATCTGTATAGTGAGACCCTATACTTAATATATTATGATAAATAAATGAGTAAATAAATAAATGTAGGTGTTCATATATAGCTGTGGCATGATTTTTTTTTAATTCATGCAGAAACATACCCACAATAGGAGTATCTGGATCAAGTGGGACCTCTACCTTAGTTTCTGAAGGGATCTCCAAGCTGATTAGTGCAGTGGTCTTATCGGCCTACACTCCCACCAGTCGTGGAGGAGGGCTTCTTTATCCCCGTGGCATTTGCTGTTGGTTGATTCCTTCATAAAAGCCAATCTTTCTGGGGTGAAATGGATTCTCTGAGTGGTTTTCACTTGCATCTCTCCAGTTACAAGTGATGTTGGATATTTTTCACATATTTATCTGCCATTTGTGTTTCTTCATCAGAAAAGTGTGCTTTCATCTAAGATGCCTGTTTTTGGGTTGCATCTTTAAATGTGAGGAGTCTGATTTCTTTCAGTTCCTTATACATTTTAGACGTTAGTCCTTTGACTGGAGGACAACTGGCTACAATTTTTGCCCATCCTGTGGTTTCTTTTGCTGTGCAAAAGCTTTTTAATAAGATGATATTTCAGTTGTTGATTCATGTTATTTCACATAAATTTGGAGGTTTGGTTTATGAAGACTTTGCCTCATGTGTATCTTCAGGAGTTCTACCTATTCTATCTTCCAGGAGATTTAGTCTTTCTGTTTTAATATTTATAACTTCAATCAATTTTGAATTTACTTTAGTGCATG